CAGCATTCCTTCTGCAAGGAATAGCCCTTCCTAGCAACATGTCCAAAGTGTGTGAGGTGAAGCCTCATCATTCTTGCCTGCAAGAATGTGCTGGCTGCACCCTCTCCAAGACGTATCTGTTCATTCTCTTGGTCATCAATCAGATGTTCAGTTTTCTTCTCCAACAACACAGGCTCAATGGCATGAATTATTTTTCTATCAGCCTTATTTATTGTCTAGCTCTTGGATGCAAAGCAAGTAATCGGAAAGACTATGGCCTGAATAAGGTCAGGCTGACATGCCTGGCTATAGCTGTAGAGTTGTGGAAAGTTTTCTTAAGAAAAGGCAAGACTATAATTGACTCTGGAATAGATACTAAATTTCAAGGAGACACAAAAATAAAAGGATTAAGAAATTCCACTCAGTGGCATAACTTGAGTAAAGGCATGCAGCTAAGGAAGTAAATGTTTGTGTTCTCTAAACTTTTAACACCTAGTACTATAGTGCATAAATTCTAATCCTTGCTCATTCCTATCTTACATTGCGACTCTCAATTGAAGACATTTTTACTTATCACAAGTGTCTCATCATATTCATGTGTTGTTCACCAGAATCATAGACTATATTTTTCTTTTCTATATGTTAGCAAAAACATATTCACATCCTGATTCACATCAGTCATTTATCATCTGTCTACTAGTATGTTTTTACCCTAGTACCTTATTTCTGAAGCATGTGTTTTTACGTATCACACAATGAAATTCTCCCAAGATCTCTGAGATAGATCACCGAATGGTTTTTTATGGACAGGTTGGGTTTTTTTGTTTTTGTTTCTCTTTTTGTTTTTTTTCCGTAAGGAGAACTGAGGCACAATGTTAAAATGTTTTCCAGAGTAACTTGACTGATAAGTGTAAAGCCACATCCAACTCAGAGACCATTCTTTTCACTATCTCATTATAAATTTGACAATAAATAAGACGAACAGAAGAAGAATCTTTATCCTTAAATTATGATGTTGGTGAAGTGTATTAAATATATACACCATGGGCTGCCAAACCTAAAAAGCCCCTGATTTATAGGAAGACCAGCCAGAATGCTCTTTAGAGGCAAGGACATATTTTCAGCATATTGTGAGGAGGAATGAATTTTTGGGGAAAGACATCATGCTCAGGAAAGTAAAGGGTCATTGAAAGAAAGGAAGACGTTCAAAGGGGTGAATTGATCCAGTGACTCAGAAAAGTAGGTTTGACGATGGTGGAGGATGTGAGGCTATGCAGGATAGGTGAGGTTTCTATTCATAGGGTTGATAGGTGTTGCAATCAATTCAATAATACCTAACAATTATATATTTGTCAATATATAGTTATTGTTGATGCTAATTCATGAAAACCACATGTAGAGTAGATACAATTGATAGGATTTTTTTCATTGTACTATTTTTCAAACTATTGTCTTTTCTTTTTGTTGTTATTGAAAATATACAAAATATTAAAAAATTCAACAATCTGTATATACAATTCCCTTGCAGTGATAATATTCCTTGACTTTGCAACCATCCTCTCCTAATCCAACTTGTTTCTCCCTCGTTAATGTAAATTCACTACCCTCTATGTAGCCTTTATAAAATTTTGAGTTGATCTTGTTGATTTGATGGGATAGAGACAGATCTTAAAAGACCACAGTGCTCAAGGAAGACATATTTAACTAAAAACAAAATGAATTAAAAACTAAACTCATTGATTGTCCTCAAGTCACAACCTGGCTCACACCAGACTCATAGCTGGCCATCCAGCAAGTTTGTGAGGCTGTAAATCGCACAGAAGGTTACTGCCTATCTTCTCCCTTGGAACTGCTGGTGGATTTCAACCACCAGAAAGGTGGCTTAAGTTGGCGACAGCCTTCAAGTTGGCGACAACTCCCTATGGTCTCTGTCACCAGACCTCTCTTAAAGGGAAACTTCAGAGGATATTGTGGGTGTTATTTCAGGGGAAGCAGGTCACCAGCTCTATCTCTGTCTTATCACTACACGTGGAACCAGCTTCTGGGTGAACAGTCAGAAGAAGCCATTTGTGGCACCTAGACATCTCTCTGTTCAGTTCATGTTTATCTGTAATGGTGAATGAGAAAATGAGGACAGTTAAATTGAGAAAGAAACTAGGTCCAAATGGACTAATTGAAATTGAAAAGAAACTAGGTTCAAAATTAGCAAGATTGACAGCAAAAAGAATTCTGGGTGGAAGAAATTGGCATTCTGATGTCAGTCAGGAATTCATGAACAGAAAGCCAGATGCAGATGTTAGTCAAATTTAAATAGAAGAAAGGAAGACTTATTAAAAACTAAAAATGGAAGATCTTAACATAGGGTGTCTTGTATGTTTCCAGGACGGGCCTTAAGGTTCTTTATGGATCACTGGAGAATAGTGACTAAGCGGGGAGTGGTACATGTACTGACTTCTTTATGTTAATTCTATTTAAGCCCTACTGAGCTTTATCTAGTCTTCTGTGGCTGTTATATTTACTTATTCCATAATAATTCCTTTTCAGTTCTTCACACTTTCAAAGGAATATAACATACTTTTAATTTTACTGTGGATATTATCTGCAGCTAAACATATATCAAATGTCTTAAAATAAGGGCATTTCATTCTATTTTCTATATTTGAAAGTTGTTTGTTAGATGGAGGAATGTATAGTAAGTGCCTTATGGAGTAGTCTTCTTATTATTTATTTACTAATATCCTTCCCTTTATGAGAGGCAGCTCTGGTGGCTTCATGCTAGGGAGTTTCACTACAAACCCTAAAACAGGCAATTCAAATCCACTATCCATTCTGAGGGAGGAAGATGAGCAGTCTCCTCCAGTGCCGCTTACAGTCTCTGGAGAACCTGTTGGAGGGTCAGCTGTGAGTAAGTTCCAACTTGATGGCAATGACTCTGATTTCTGTTTGCGTATTACTGGAGGGAGCTCTGGTGGCACAGGGCTTGGGACGTTTAGCTACTAACTCAAAGGTGGTCGTGCCTCTCTGGTGGATGGAATCAACAGGGACTGCAAAGGAGAAATGCAGGAAGGTAGAGAATTTCCTCTCAAGAGCAATTTACCAGATAGTAACCAGCTGGAGGGTCAGCTCCGAGAGAGTTCCAGGTCTACAACAATGAGTTTTTAGTTGAGATTTATATCAGTTTGCATAAAATTTGTAACTATGGAGTTAAATTCTTCAATCAAAGGAGTACGGCAGGTTGTTTTATGTGCTGTACTTTACATCTTTCATGTATTGAAATCATTTAATACTTTATAAACTGTATTCTTCACATCCTAAAGCCCAACAATATTTTTTGGTCAAGAAATGAGTGCCCGGTTCTTTGAGAAATCATAGGCTTTTTTATGCGTCCATTCTCAAGGTTAAAGTTAAAGTGAAATAAAAGCCAAAAAGAGACATGAGAGAAAAGCTGAAGTGTTGAAAACTTGGTTTAGAAGTAACACAGCTCTGTCAGCTGGTTACTTTTATTAATAGTAAAACAACAAAAAAAAAAACAAACAGATTCGATTTCCAATAAACCAGAGATGAGTTAGAAAAGAGAGGGAAGAGAATGATCTTGAAACTAAATGCCTAGTTACAAAATGGGCAAAAGACATGGAAAGAATTTTCACAGAGGAAGATATTTGAGTGGCAAACAGACACATGAAGAAATGCTCCAAATCACAGGCAATAAGAGAGATGAAAATCAAAACCACAATAAGGTACCATCTCACTCCAGCAACAGTGGCAAAGTTTAACAGGGCAGCTAGAATAAATGTTGTAGAGGATATGGTGAGAAAGAAACTCTTATATATTGTTGGTGGAATTGTAAAATGGAACAACCATTTTGGAAAGTAGTTTGGTGCTTCCTCAAAAAGCTGAACATAGTAATGCCATATGACCCAGCTATTCCACTACTTTGAATATACCCTGAGAAAATGAAAATTGAGGCACAAACTGAGATTTATACACCAGTGTTCATAGCAGCATTATTCACCACAGTAAGAACATGAAAACAGCCTAAATGTACAACCACTACTAATGGATTGAGAAATTATGGTACATTCATACAATGGAATCCTACGCAGCACGCAGGAGCGATGATCTTGTAAATTATTACCGAACTTGGGAGGGTCTGGAGAGCATTGTGATAAGTGAACTAACTCAGTCCCACAAGGACAAATATTGTATAAAACCATTATTGTAGAATGAGTACAGGATCCAAAGGGGGATGGAAGAGAGTGGAAGTAGAAGGATGAGGATGTACAGGGGCAGGGGGGATTAATCATAGAGTTGTATAATTTGATGGGTAGGAGATGAGGAAAAAATGGAAGAATTTATTCTAAAATACAATGTATTCAAATTTTATAAATAAACTAGTATAAAAAAAGTCAACTTGGAAAGGGGAAAGGGAAGGAGATGGGGTAAATTGTGTAACAATAAATGAATGAAAATCTAATTTTTCTTTAAACTTTTGTTAAGATCACAATTGAAATAAAAAATATTTTTAAAACCCCCCAAAAATATAAGTGTCACTGCCCACTTTCAGCAAAGCCACAATCCACGGTCATTTAAAAAATGTTGTCATTAAATAGATATGATTAGGTATTATGTGCATGATAAGAGTCCAGAATAAGAGCTGCATACATAATAAAGTGGACTGGGGGGATTATATAATAATGAAATACTTTTTTTTTCTTTTTCAAAGAGAAACGTGAATTGGTGGGAGGGGTGGGCAGGGAAGAAAATGTACAACAATGAATGAATGGGGGAAAATATTTTTTTAAAAATGTTGTCATTAACCTCCACCCTTTCAGTTTGGAGAATTAGTAGGTTGTTGTTTAGTACCATCGAGTTGGATCTGACCCATAGCTGACCTCAGCCTCCAGCAGATTTTCAGAGATTGTCGATCACATGGGAGGAGATTGCCCATTCTGAGTTGGTCTCTGCTTCTCTGGGTTTGATTTAGCAATATTTGCCTTCATTGGATTTTTCCTTCTTCATAGCTTAACCAGCTGGAAAAGGCAGTGGAAGCAGCCCACACTTTCTTCATGGCCAACCCTGAACACATGGAAATGCAGCAGGACATCGAGAATTACCTAACAATGGCCGGTGTGGAAGCATCCCAGGTGATAGACCGAGAAGCCAGACCCCATCTGGTGAGCTCTGGGACCCCTTACCCTGCCATATAGAGCCCACTGTGTCTCAGCTTCATTTGGTTTTCAGAATTGTGTGACTGGAGAACTCAAAGTGATTCTCAACTCCCCATGATAAGGCATTATTATACTTTCAACTATCTCAGCTAGAATCTTTTCATTATCAGGATAAAAAAACCCGAAAACCCAAAAACAAACCACTTGAAAGAAAATTTAAAACTCACTTAGAAAAAGCTGTATAATATGGTAAAAACTGAATCATTGTATTGCTGTTATGTACCTTTGATAACTTGCAACTCATGTACAAAGGCCTGAAACCTGCTCTATTTTCAGCCCACCTCACTGTCTCTGACACACCTGCCCCCATTACTCCAGTCACTGAATCAGCGTAGGTCAGCTTATTTGCACCACAGCTCTCTACCTCTTGCACTTTATTTCTCGCAGGAGGCTGTGGCCTCGCCTCGGGGGAGAATACAAGGTCACATTCTAGTTGCCCTACTCCTTCCTGGTCCAGTGGTTTTCCATTGCATGCATGTTTTTCACCCTTACTTTGTAAAAGCCATATAATTCTTTGTCTGCATGACATCTAACCTGCAGTCACAACATGTTCAAAGGACTCACTTTTCATTTTATGATCTCACCATTCTCAATGTGTGATTCCCAAGAACTACAGAAAAGGATCTCACACTCTCAAAACCAACCTCTGAGACGTTTGTACATGGAATCATTTTGGTTTAAATTCATTTAAGTAAATTGGGCAAGGTCCAGGTATGGATTTTCATTTCTACCCACATCCTTTGCCACAGTCTTACATTATAGTGAAATTCCAGCCTTTGCATGTGATCTTAAGAAAACACAGCTGGTTCCCTGCCACGGGGGCTCCTTGTTCAGTATATCACCTTTCATTGCCTACAGCTAACTGAAGTAGGGGAAGGTACACTTCATTTCCTAGTAAATGCTCCTCTTTTCCCTTCTGGAACTTAGAAGTCCAATGTCTCCACCCACATAAGTGATTCTGTTTTGGGGAGAACAAAACACAATTAATCTTCTGTTTCTTTTCAGGAGAGCTACAGTGCAGGAGTGAAACATTATGAGGCTGATGATTTTGAGCTGGCCATCAAGTACTTTGAACAAGCTTTAAGAGAATATTTTAATGAAGATATAGAGTGTCGAGCCCTGTGTGAGGGACCTCAGAGATTTGAAGAATATGACTATTTAGGGTATAAAGCTGGCCTCTATGAAGCTATTGCCGGTAAAGCTTATTGTTTCTCTTTTATTTCCTGATAAAGATGTTGCATGCATTCTGCAAAAATATTCCAAGATAGAAAAGTATGTCTTAGAAAAGGTCCCAGTCTCCTGTGCCTGTCTTGTCATTCATAGATAAATTCACAATTCTCAAATTGTCATGAATATCCTTTGAATGGTTTCATGTGCATGTGTAGATATTTATGTATTTATAATTATTCCTTAATTATGTGTAAAATTAGACTGTGCTATAAATATTATTTTCACCATTGTTTTCCTCTTTTCTTTCCTGCTTAACAATATATTGTGGACTTTTATGTAAGTATATGATGATCTACTGTATTATATTTCATGAGTGGGTTATATAGGTTCATAATAATATATTTGTGTATTTTTAATTCATAAGTATTATGTAGTTTAGTATAAAATGATGTAATACCTTTGTATACATACTGTTGTTTGCTGTTATGTGTATTAAGTCAGATTTGGCTCATAACTAACCCTCCGGCTGGTTTTTAGAGGATGAAAATTGCCCAGGGAGAGATTGCTTTATGCTGTAGAGTAGCTGGTGGATTTGAACTATATGCCTTTGAGTTGGCAGAACAGCTCCTTTCCTCTATGCCACCTGAGCTCACTTCTCTTTACATACTCTTCACTTACGTGAAATGATATTTTATTATATATGAAAATTTAATGCTTGGAAAAGGAATATTTAAAAGAAGTGGGTAAAGTGTATTATATAGTATTTGAGATATTCACTAAAACACCATTGATGGGAAGAAAAATGAGTTCTCTACCACGCACCATAAATCCTATTTACATTGACATTATAAATGTGTGTGTGTTGGGGGGAGAAATCCCAGAAGAAAATGCAGGATATTTGTATCATGTTAAGAAAGAAAGAACTCTTTATAGGATGCTAAGAAAAAGATAAACTTTATCTAAGATCTAATATGCAAATTACAAAAAGAAAAATTTATTTATAAATGACAAATAAAAAAATTATAATCTTATTTTTTCTTAAGATGTAAATGTTGATAAATATTACTGCTAATCACTTTCCCTTCCTCTTTTTAAATAAGGAAATTGTGCCACAGAAAATGATTAAGTCATGTAGCTAAGAGGAAGCTGGCAACAAAACACACATTTTTCTGACTCTGGATTCTGCAAGTTTTAGATCTGTACAGAAATGAGCAAAGGGAAGTTTGTCAAATGTTTCAGATATCCTTGCTGAGCACATAGTTTCCCAAGCTTTAAACACATGAAAAACAATGTTATACACCACAAGTACTAGAAAAATGAAAATTAATGACGTATGTTTCTTCTCTCCAACTTCCATTGTGTCCTCACTCAATAAAAAGCACCGTTCAACTAGTCAACCTCCTGCTAAATCCCAGGAAGATATGTTTTAACCTAGCATCTCTGATAATTTCTTTTATTATCTGATTTATCACTGTCTGAATGATTCTACTTCTTAATAGCATGATTTGAATGTGCCACCTGCTCCCTAGGAGAAAGATGGCCCATCTCCTCCCATGAAATTTTCTACTGAAAGGTCACCTATGAGTTAGTTCCCAACTCAGTGGAAATGAGTAAGTGAGTGAGTAGAGAACAATGATCAAAACTTGTACACCAGTGTTCATAACAGTGTTATTCATCCTCTTAAGAACATGAACATAGGCCGAGCTGTCCAGCCATAATCAAATGGATTGAGAAATTATGGTGTATTCACATAATGGAATACTATGCAGTATGCAGGAACAATGATTTTTTTAAATTTCTACCTAATTTGGGAGGATTATGGAATACCTAACTGGAGAGCATTATGCTAAGTGAACTAAATCAGTCCCATAAGGACAAATACTGTATAAGACCATTGTTATAGAATGAGATGAGGACCCAAGGAGGTGGTAAAGAGAGAGCAGAGGGGTGAGGATGGGCAAGGGAGGGGTTAATCATGGGGTTGTACAATTTGATGAGTGGAGGAGGGGTGAAGGAAATGGGAACGATCCAGTGTAAAAAATACAATGTATATGAACTTTGTGAATACACCAGTATAAAATAAAAATTAAAAAAAAAATCCACAAATCAAAAAACCCCAACATAAAATAGAAAGTAGGCCTAAGCCATTAACTCATTACAGTGCATAGCAACAAAACAATAGTAACACATAAACATTCCTGTTTGTCTTTACCCATTTTATTACCATCTGGGTTCAAATCACCAGTGTTATTTGACCAGCCACTATCATAGCCTCCTTACTAGTTTTCTTGTCTTTGTCAGCTTTACCTCTGGATGCAGGCAAAACAGTCTTCTGGAAAACAGATGTCTGATCACATTACCAACACATTCCTGCTTGAAATCCTCTGATGATTTTTATTATTCTTGAAATAAAACCCCAAACCTTTAACAAGGACATTTCATGATCTAACCCTGTGTATGTTTACATCTTCTCTCTCTGATTTTAGTTTTTCTTTGACTCATTTTGACTGACTTCTCTTTAATCTATTATATGTGCCATGCTCATTTCTACTTCTAGTCCTTCAAAATCCTGTTTTTCTTTTGCCTAATTCTTTGTCTCTTGTATTGCTTAACATTGTGCCTAAGAGAGTGACCGGAAAATAAAAAGTGCTTAAAAATATTGATCAGTAAGTAAGTTGATGAATGAATGGAAACGGCATCTTTATGAATTGTATTTTCAGAGGTGAGGGAGTACTTGATAGCCCATATTTGTAAGAGATACTGCATTTACATCATAAACAAGTAAGGTCTTTTATAGGGCTAGTAGGGCTCTGGTGACCTAATCCGTAAGGAGTTGCTCTGCAAACCCAAAGGTGCCTCCTCTCTGGCAGTTTGAATCCACCAGCTGCTTCCTGGGAAAAGATGAGTGATATCCCCCCTATGAAAACCTGCTGGAGGGTCAGCTATGAATTCGTTCTAACTCAGTGGGAACTAGTGAGTCAGTGATCAAACATAAAGTAGAAGATAGGCCAAATGATTGGAAAACCATTTACCAAATGAGCAACTCACAACATACGTAATTACCCCAGATTGATTCATTTCACCTAACATCAATATAAATACCTGAATTATTAAGTCTATCCCTTACCTCCCCAGTGGCTTGTTTCCTTGGGCATCTGCCAGAGAAATTTGCTTGCTTTTTTGTAAGCACTATTCATTTGAATGCCAGTTTAATGTGCTTTGGGTTTCTTTGCTGAATATTTCTCTAATACTCAATCCTTTATTTAGGACACACCTAGTGTTTTCAGTGGGATATATGCCCAACTTTCACCCTTGTATTTGCCTCTGTCCTTTCTTTACCAATGGCGCCTAAAAGCTTTTATTGGCAGCATCAGGATGGATGGTGAAGAGATTGAAATTGTTAATAGCTTTAGTTTGCTTGGCTCCACAGTCAACACTCTTGGCACCAGCAGCCAAGAAATTAAAAGACACATCACAATGGGAAAGTCTGCTGTTAGGGACCTCTCTGGACATGGTCTTTGCAATCACTTGCTATGCATCAGAGAGATGGACAATGACTGGGAAGGATAGAAGAACTGATGCCTTTGAGTGGTGGTGCTGGAGAAGAGTATTGAGTTGTACCATGGACTGCTAAGAAAACGAACAGGTTCATCCTGGAGAGGGTTAAACCGGCTGCTCCTTGGAGGCAAGGATTCTGAAGCTTCGTCTCACATACTTTGAACATGTTATAAGGAGGGACCAGTCTTTGGAGAGGGATGTCATGCTTGGGAAGGTGGAGGGACTGCACATGAAAGGAAGACCCTCTGTGAGGGGGATTGATTCAGGGACTGGGGTAATCGGGGTGAGTGTGTTGGAGACAGTGAGAGTGGCATGGAATAGAACAGGGTTTAGGTCTGTTGTCCATAGGGTCGCTATGAGTCGCAGGTGACTCGATGGCACATAACAACAACAACAACAACGAAAAACTTTGCCAGCAAACTCATTTGGAGTTTTGACTGAATGTTTCACAGATTGTTGTTTTTGTTGTTGTTATGTGCCTTTTATGAGTCACTTGCAACTCATTACTTCATTATATCTTGTCCTGGGGGAAAAAAAACCATCATGGAGAATTTGTGCTGTTAGTGACTGTGTTTCCTACCTTTTCTTTTTGCCTGTTTTTTGGGATTAGAAGAATTTATTATAAGGTAAACTGAGCTCTGACAGTATAGTCAGTAAGGAGTTGTATGGCTAACTCAAAAGCCTCTTTGGCAGTTCAAATCCACCAGAGGCTTTTTAAGAGAAAGATGAGCAACTTTACCCCTTGCTATTTACAGCCTCCTAAAACCTTTTGAAGGGTCAGTTACGAGATGGATTTAATGGGGATGAGTTTGAGTTTCTGATATAAGCTGAAGCGGAGCTAAACTGAGAATACAATTGATAGTTGCTGGGTTTTCTTCTTCTTAAGAAATCAAACAATTAGCTATTTATTACTAACATACTCATTAAATAAGCAGAGCTTTAGTGACCTAGTGGTAAGGAGTTTGTGCTGCCAACTCATAGGCATGGGGTTCAAATCCACCAGCTGCTTCAAAGGAGAAAAATAGACCATCTCCTCCCATGCAATTTATTGTCTCTGGAATCTCACTGACAGGTTAGCTATGAGTCAGTTCCGACTCGATGGCACACAATAACAGCAACAGTTAAATAAGCAAGGAGCCTGCTGCTGCTGTACTTAAATTCTGAGCTACAAACTGAAAAGAAGGAACTCAACTAGCAATTTCAGAGGAGAAAGACCTGGTGATCAGTTCCTATAAAGCTCACAGTCTCGAGAGCCCACCGAGGCCCCACTGAGGCAGTTCTGCTTTGTCACATGGGATCACTGAAAGTCGAAGACACCTTGACAGCACCCTATAAAAGCAACAACAGTCATAGACAAAAAAATATTTTACTCTGATTCTTCAATTGAGATTAAGAACTATTAGACTTTCAGATACTGTTACTCTATATGGGATTGAGTTAGCCAGGTTATGCAAAAACTGGCACATTTTACTCCACCCCAGGAGACATGCATTTCTCCCTATTCCATTTTGTGATCCCTCTGCAAAATTATCAAGATCCAGGATGAACTCTCCCTCAACAGAGAACCTTTTGAAAGAAGGCAGTTGTGCTAAATGAAATTGGAAAACCATGAGGTCAGATGAATGATTTTTATCTCACTCTCCAGGAACTACATGTGTTACTAATATGAATGAACCATCTCTTTCTGGAAAGTGATATATCCATCTTCATTGCAAAAAGCAACGCAACGTTGAGGTGGGGCGTGGGGGGGGGATGTAGGCATCGTTTTCATCTCTGGACATTGTCACTTGTGTTTTCTGAGCTGGTGCTCTGATGAGCTAGAGCCCAGGCCTGAGATCACTGTACTCCATCTGCTTCATTCATTTCAAGCTGAGGAAGATGGGAGTTAAAAAACAAACAAAAAACAATCAAATGAAACATGAGAAAGAAATGAAGGCTTTAATAGAATTCTCTAAGTTTCTTCTTTCTCTCTATAGTGACTATTTTTCCAGTAACTACGGGATTAGAGTATACAATTTCTAGGTAGCAGGATAATTCATAACTGTGTAGTAAAAAAGCCACAGTCATGCTTTGTTAAAGTCCTTGACTGCTAACAAAAAGGTTTATGATTGGAGCTCATGAGCTCTCCACAGGATAAAGGCATGGCAATGCACTTCCAAAAAAGTGCCCCCTTGAACTCTATCTGGTAGTTCTAGCTTGTTCCCCAGGACCACACTGAGCTGGAATTGTCTTGATCTTCTATTCAGAAGATGTTGATCTCTGAACAGAAGACTTCCACAAACCCCTTTCTGGTTTTGTCGTTTGCTTTTTCTTTTCTGTTATGAAGTGAGGATAATAATGACATCAGTCTCAGTATGTGATGAGATGATGAAAATGTCCCTGCAACTATCATCTGTGACTTTAAAGCTTAAGGACTAAGCTGTCCAGGGTGATGTACTTTTCAAAACTGTCTTTCAGATCACTACATACAGGTGCTGGTTTGTCAGCATGAATGTGTGAGAGAGCTGGCCACCCGCCCGGGCCGACTCTCCCCTATTGAGAACTTCCTTCCTCTGCATTATGACTACCTGCAGTTTGCCTACTATCGAGGTGAGTGAAGACATTTGTAGGGTCTTTGTACATTATCTGAGATATTGTGTGCTTGTGGTTAAGTCTTCCGTGTTCTTCTGTTCACCATTTTCTCTCTCCTCTCACATCACTGCAGCTCCAGATAAGAGAAATAGAAGGCACAAGTAAGCATGGGCAAAACGTAGGCTTTTAAAGCTGTGATAACTTTTAGAGAGTTATGCACTTTATATAGTTTTAATTAAAAAAAAAAAAAGAAGTAGTTTCCTGAAAGGCACAGTTAAATGTTTAACTATTATCAAAAAGATTAGTGTTTCAAATGCACCCATTAGCCCTTTGGAAGACAAATGTGGCACTTGTCTTTGGAAAAGTCACAGCCTTGGAAACCCCATTGAACGATTCTACTCTACCCACAGGGGACCCCTTGAGTTGGAATTACCTTCCAGCAAATAACAACAACAACAACAACAACAATATATTTAGATACAACAAAAACCAAAACCAACAACAACAATAAAAGCAATGGCATCAATCACTGTACCTAGTATAATGTTTCCTTTTTTTAAAAAAAATTTAGGTTGTTTATTTTTCATTTCAATGAACATCTACAGAGATTTTGGGATTCCATTCATGAATATTTATATTGTTTATAATCATTTGCTATTAGTTCTAATGAATAACATTTCCTATATTATCTCAAATTTTCACACTAATATTTATAAATTACTTGAAATACAACTAGAGAGTCAGTTGTTTTCAGTCACGTAATTTTAATAGATGCTCCAAATTCTCTTCCTTCTAGAATATGTTTCCCATTGCTCACCAGCAGAATATATGATCAGTCTTTTAGGGCTGTCTGACTCCATTGCGTAAAATATAGGAGATTTAAAAATTTATATACATTTTGTTAACTAAGGGAGCAGGCATCTTTTCTCCTGTTAAAAAACAATCCATGAAACTAAGGTGGCCGAATTTGACCTTACATATCACGTAGGGTAATATTCTCATTTTATAGAGTTAGGGCTGGCTCGAGGACATATAACTTAGTGAAAGGTCATGATACCTGCTTCAGTGCTTTCCCCCATATTTCTTCCAAGCTCCAATATGAGACTGCCTTCTATGGAGGTCAGTAGTGAAGAAAGTATTTTCCTTTTAAAATAATAAGAAGGTCTTGAGCCAAATTTTTTCAGCTGCTCTGGCAAATCTCTCCCTTTTCTAAAGCAAAACATTACTCATCATCCTGGCGCTAATGGCAAATCATAAATTATGTGCTCAAGTCATGGGCAGTGAATGCTAAGTATTTGAGTGAATTGCTTAATTCTAAGTATTTCTATTAATAAGCAGAGTCCTTTGGCTTTATGTATGTCTGAAGGAAAACCTTGTTTTAAAAAGAAAGCCAGTGTTGCTATCTATTTGAAGGCAAAGCATGCAGTATTTCAAAACTCCTCTTTTGTATCTAAATATTTCTGCAACAACAAATCCATAGTTTAAATATTCTTGCTTGTTTCTCATTAGTAATGTGTTACTATAACAGTATAATGAGGGACTGGGGTGACAGGGGTTTTCATGAAGAAACTATAGTCTTATGAAGAACTATAGTCAGAAATCATTTGTAGGATATTTATTTAACCTATTTAACTTTAGAATTTAATAAACGTAATTCAGCATTTCTTAAGCTCAAGGAACTGAAGAACAAATTCAAACCTCGAGTTACTATACTGAAGGATGCTTTGGGCAGAATATTAAATGATCCAGGAAGATCATTTTTAAAAAGAAGAAAATAAGATGGAAAGAGTATACAGAGTCATTGTACCAAATGGAATTGGCAGACACAGAATTTCATGAAACAACATATGAACAAGGGTCTATGGTGATGAAGGAAGAAGTTCATGCTGTTTTGAAGGAATTGGCAAAACATAGCCCCCAGGAATTGATGGTATACCAATTGACATGTTTCAACTAACAGGTGCTGCCCCAGATGTGCTCATCAAGTGTGTCAAGAAGTCTGGAAGACAAACAGTTGGCCAACTGCCTGGAAGAGATCTATATTTGTTCCCAATACAAAGAAAGGTAATCCAAGAGATTGTGGAAATTATCGAACAATATCCTTGATATCACATGCAAGCAAGATTATGCTGAAGATTAGCCAAAAACGACTAGAACAGTACATCAGCAGAGAACTGCCAGAAGTGCAGGCTGGGTTTAGAAGGGGTTTTGATACTAGGGATATTGTAGCTAATGTTAGATGGATCTTGGCAGAAAGCAGGGAGTACCAAAGGAATGTCTATCTGTGTTTCATTGACTATACAAAGGCATTTGACTGTGGATCACAACAAATTGTGGCTGACTCTGAGAAGAATAGGAATTGCAGAACACTTGATCATGCGAATGCAAAACCTGTACTTGGATCAGGAGGCAGTTGTCAGAACAGAGCAAGGAAACACCGCATGGTTCAGAATTGGGAAGGGTGTGCATCAAGGATGTGTCGTATCTCCATATCTTTTCAATCTAAATGCGGAACAGATTATATGGGAGGCTGGGCTCCATGAGAAGTGTGGCGTCAGGATTGGTGGAAGATTCACCAACAATCTGCGATATGCAGATGACACAACCCTGCTTGCTGAAACTGAGGAGGTCCTGAATGGCTTGCTGCAGAAGGTCAAGGAATGCAGCTTTCAATATGGATTGAGGCTCAGTAAGAAGAAAGTGAAGATTCTCACCACTGGGCCAATTGGCACAGTGCAGAGATTGAGATTATTAACAGCTTTAGTTTGCTTGGCTCCACAGTCAACACTCTTGGTACCATCAGCCAGGAAATTAAAAGACGTATTGCGATGGGAAAGTCTGCAATTAGGGACCTCTCCAAAGTAATGAAGAGCAATGATGTCACTCTAGAGGCTAAGTTGTGCCCAATACACACCATGGTCTTTGTAATCAATTCCTATATGTCAAAGAGCTGGACAATGACTAGGAAGGGTAAAAAGAGAATTGATGCCTTTGAGCTGTGGTGTTGGAGAAGTAAACTGAATATACTATGTACTGCTAAGAAAATGAACAGGTTCATCTTGGAGAGGATTAAACGAGGCTGCTTCTTGGAGGCAAGGATTCTGAAGCTTCATCTGACATACTTCAGACATGTTGCTAGGAGGGACCAATTTTTGGAGAAGGACATAATGCTTGGGAGGGTGAAGGGACAGCACAGGAGAGGAAGACATTCTACGAGGTGGATTGATTCAGTGACTGGGGTGATGAGGGTATGTGTATCAGAGACAATGAGACTGGCACAGGATAGAGCGGGTTTAGGGATGTTGTACATAGGGTACATATGAGTCACAGGCGACTCAATGGCACATAACAATAACAACAAACAAACTTCAGAATGGACTTTTGTAGTCCTGCTCTGATTCTCTGTATTAATATTTTAAATTGCCAACAAACATGGGCACATGGAAAGGGGTATTTTTTATGCAAAATATATTGCACAGGGACTCGCTTGGGTAGTAACTTTTGAATACCTGAAATCACATTTAAAGTCTATGAGTTGTTTCTACCTATTCAGTCAGCCTTTCCTAACCTTCCTACTTATTAATGTTAAAGCTGATCTCTCATATACATGTAATTCCTTCAAACCCTTTGGATAAACCTAGGCTTTCTATAATACTGCCATTCCTTGGCCTTTCAGTGGGTGAATATGTGAAAGCTTTGGAATGTGCCAAGGCCTATCTTCTACTGCATCCAGATGATGAGGATGTCCTAGACAATGTGGATTACTACGAGAGTCTGCTGGATGACAGCACTCACCCTGATTCCATTGAGGCCAGAGAGGTGAGAGCAATTCTAAGGAGAGTTCTTCATTCTGTATACTCTCAGGAGAGAGAGAGAGAATAAAAACTCATTTTTTATCTTAAAGCTAGCTAGCTTTGTAATCATTCAAGTGTTCTCTTTAATTATTTTTACTTAATTTTAGTTCTTTCCAGAAGTACTTTTTCCCTCATAAATACTGGTTTGTGAAAATATCTTGGGCTGGGGTATTTTTTTATGGTTCTAATTTTTGGTTCTGTTGAAAAAAAATACTTATATGTGGACTTTGATCTCGTCCCTCAACAATAATTTAATATAATTCTCTCTCTTTCTATTTTCTTTCCCATTCCAGGATTTGTCCATGTTTGTAAAGCGTCATCAAATGGAATCTGAACTGATAAAATCAGCTGCAAAAGGTCTGGGATTCTCATACACTGAGCCGGTAAGAACAAAGTGAAAAGAATGTTTGTTTAAAAAACTACAAGGTGGGATTTTTATAATTTCATTCCTCACTCCATTTACTGAAGATTTTATGCAGTGTTACCTCGTTCTGTTTGAACAACAGCGCTGTTTTTGGTATAAGCATAGGTTTCATACAAGCATAATTAAATGTTCTGGAATTTCTGTTCTTCTCAAAATTAGCCATAGTTGGTAGTGATCCACACCGTCAGATGTCTTCGTCATTGAGACACAAATGGACATTCTACTGATATTCTCTGCTTTCATCCAAGATCTGTCTGACATCAACAATAATATCCCTGGTGCCACAGTCCCTTTTAAACCCCACTTGAACTTCTGGCAGTTTTTAGTCAGTGTACAGTTTTAATGGCGTTTGGATGATCTTCAACAATAATTTGCTTGCATGTGGTATTATGACATTGTGTGATAATTTCCACATTCTATTGTAACACTTTTTTGGGGAATGGAAACATATATGGATTTCTTCTAGTTCATTGTCTTCCTTACGATTAGCTCTTTATCAGATGCTGCTTCCTGATGTATTTCAAGGTCATTCAATTATTTTTGTACAGTGACTCCTTGTATGCATTCCCTCCATCTTTTATTTCTTATGCTTCCTGAATCATTCAAGATTTGTCTCATAGTGTCTCTGAGTAGTACTGCAACTCGAAGCTTGAATATGTTTTTCCATTCCTTCAGTTTGAGAAATGCTGAACGAGGTCTCCTGTTTTTATTCTCTAACTCCAGTTCTTCACATTCTGTTATAATAATTTGCTTTATCTTCTCTTTTATTAAAAAATTATTTTATTAATTTTAATGAACATTTACAGAGATTTTGGATTTTCATTCATTCATTGTTGCACTTTTTTCTTTACCTCCCTCCCCTAGTTCACTCCTCTCTTTGAAAAGCAAAAGGTAAACTTCTTCATTGATATACAATTCCCCCAACCCCAACCCTGCTCCCCCCACCCCAAATGCACTCCACTATGCAACCTTATTTCTGTATTCATGTAATAATCATAATATGCTATCATATATCAATTCTCTTTTAAAATCATCTGCTCCTCTCTTTTACTTCAGGATCTCATTTTGGCCTCTCACTGCACTAGTGCAATTTTCAAAGTCTCTTCTGATATCCATTATTATCTTTCCTTTCTCCTCTGTTTTTTTTTTTTTTCTAATAGTGGCACAAATCAAGTTACAGAGGTAAGGTGGTTCTATTGCCATCCTTACTCTAACTTAATTCTTTTTTTTTTTAATTTAAATTTGTTATTACTTTCAGTGAAAATTTACAGAGGCTTTGGATTTCCATTCATTCATTGTTGTAGATTTGTCCCCTCCCAAGGCTCCCCCCACCAGACATTACTCTCTTGGAAAAGTAAAAGAAAAGATTCTTTCATTATTTTACAAACCCTCCCCCAGGTCCACTCCACCATGTAGCCATCGCTCTAGACTCCTGTCATGACCGAAATACCTAATCACATATCTCTTTTAAACAGTTTTCTCCCTTCTCTGTTTCAGAGCAGCATACATTATTGAACCCATCTTACTCAGTCTCTCCCCAACCCCAAGGACAGTCCCATTCTACAACAGTGGCACCATGCAATATTTGTCCCTTTGTGACTGGGACTCTCCTCTGTTTTCGTAACAACTTTTCACTCTCTGTATGAATAATATCTTTGATGTCATCCCATACTTCCTTTGGTCTTCAATCCATACTGTTCAGTGCTTCAAACTTGTTCTTGAGATGATTTTTAAATTCAGGTGGAATACACTCAGGGCCATATTTTGGCACTTGTGGACTAGCTTTAATTTTCTTCAATTTCAGTTTGACCTTTATGTTCTGTTCCACAGTCAGTGTCTGGCCTACTTTTGACTGGTTGATATTAAGCAGTAATAGAGACACTGATGTGTCAAATGGGATAATGATTTCTCACAGTGGACAGTGTTTAGGAGTGGCATCCACTCCCAAAATAGCTTGCCTCTGGAAACCCTATGAACCTGGAGAAAGGATGAAAGTTATACAGGTGTTCAGGTCTTTCGTTCATAAGGTCGCTATGAGTCGCCTATGACTCGATGGTCCTTAACAACAACAGCTACACGTCCAAAGTATGAAAGACTAAGCTTCACCATCTTTGCCTCAAAGGAACACCCTGGCTACATTTTTCCAAAGAAGATAGATGTTTGTCCTTTTGGCAGTCCATGTTATACTCGGTACTTTTCTCCAGCACCAAAAGTCCATCATTTCTTCTTCTATGGTCCTTATTCATTGTAGGTGATTGAAAAAACCATGAGTGAGTCAGGCACAACTTAGTCTTCAAAATGACAGCACTGTCCTTTATCATTTTGGAGAGACCCTTGATAGTGGATTTGTCCAGTGTAGTATGTCCCTTGATTTCCTGACTGCTGGTACTAAGGGTATTGGTTGTTGATCCAAGCAAGATGAAATTATTGACAGCTTCAATCCTTTCTCCATGTATCATGATATTGATTGTTTGTCCTGTGGTGAGGACTTTTGTTTTCAAGATGTTGAGTTGTAATCTATACAAAAGGCTGTAGTCCTTGATCTCCTTGAAGCAGCAAGCTCTTCTTATTCTCCTCACATTCAGCAAGCAAAGTTGTGTCATCTGCATAATACAGACTGTTCGTGACAGTTGCTCTGATCCTGATACTTCATTCCTCATCATGGAATCTAGCTTTGTGAATTATTAGTTCCACGTAGAATAGGTATGGAGGGGAAAAAATTACAATCATGACACACAATTTTCCTGATTTTAAACCATGTGATGGAAGTTCCCTTGCTCTGTTTGGACAACAGCTTCTTTTTTTTTCCAAAAGAAAATTCTATTTTTTTTCATTCACATTGTGTTTCTTATAATTTCCTTACATTGTGTCTTATAAAATTAATCACCATTAGTATATGGTAATTAGGTACCCCATCTTTTCAGGTCTCCACTGGACCTTTTCTAATTCCTTCACCCCCTTCCCTCCACAGACCAAACTCTGTGACCTCATGATTCCTCCCTCCCCCATTCCCTACCTTCAGCTTTCCTGCACCCCCCTTTTCCCTCTTTGGATATCCATATACATTTTACTAATTATTCTTTCCTTTTACCATAATGGGTCTTATGAAGTATTTAGGGAGCTCCGGTGATCTAGTGGTGAGAAGTTGCAAACCTACTGAGGGGTCAGCTATGGATCTCTTTTTACTCAGTGGTACATAATTACAGCAACATTCAGTACCTGTCCTATGAACCTGAGTTCATTCACTCGGCATAATGCCCTCTAGCCTCTCTCATATTATATGGTATTTTTCAAAATCAATGCTCTTGAGTGCTACATAGTATTCCATGATGTGAAGATACCACAGTTTTTCAATCTAGTTATTTGATGGACATTTGGGCTGTTTCCATGTTGTTGTTATTATTGTTGCTGTTGTTATGTACCATCGAATTGGAACTGACTGGTAGCTGACTCTTCAGGAGGTTTTCAGAGACAGTAAATCACAATGGGAGGAGATTATCCATCCTTCTCCAGTGGAGCAGCTGGTGGATTTGAACCGCTTGCCTTTGAGATTGCAATGCAGTTTCTTAACACTGCTGCAGTAAACATTAGAGTACAAATCTGTTTCTCTCTCAGTTCTGTTTTTCTCAGGGTATGTTCCTATCAGTGGAATAGCTGGGTCATAGGGAATCTCTATGTTCAGCTTTTTGAGGAAATGCTAAACTGCCTTCCAGAGTGGTTGTACTGTTTTACAATCCCACCAACAGTATATGAGAATTTTCATCTCTCCACATCCTCAACATTTATTGCTTACTGACCTATTAAACTTTTCCATTGATACTGGGGTGAGATGGTATCTCAGTGTAAGAGATGGTATCTCAGTGTGATTTATATTTGCATCTCTCTTACTGTCAGTGATTTTTCATATTATACTTACCGGTTGGGCTCTATGAGGAGAAATGTGGGGTCAAGATTGGTGGAAGATCTATCAACAATCTGCAATATGCAGATGACACAACCCTGCTTGCTGAAACTGACGAGGACCTGAAGCGCTTGCTGCAGAGGATCAAGGACTGTAGCCTCCAATATGGATTGAGGCTCAATGTCAAGAAGACAAAGATTTTCACCACTGGGCCAATTGGCAGCATCAGGATGGATGGTGAAGAGATTGAGATTGTTCACAGCTTCAGTTTGCTTGGCTCCACAGTCAACACTCTCAGCACCAGCAGCCAGGAAATTAGAAGACATATTGCCATGGGAAAGTCTGCTGTTAGGGACCTCTCCAAAATACTGAAGAACAATGGTGTCTCTTTGGAGACTAAGGTGCATCTGATATAGGTCATGGTCTTTGCTATCACTTGTTATGCATCAGAGAGTTGGACAATGACTAAGGAGGATAGAAGGAGAATTGATGCCTTTGAGCTGTGGTGCTGGAGAAGAGTGTTGAGGGTACTATGGACTGCTAGGAAAACAAACAGATTCGTCCTGGAAAGGGTTAAACCGGGCTGCTTCTTGGAGGCAAGGATTCTAAGGCTCCGTCTAACATACTTTGGACATGTTGCAAGTAGTGCAATGTCCTTGGAGAGGGACATCATGCTTGGTAGGGTGGATGGTCAGCGCAGAAGGGGAAGGCCCCCTATGAGGTGGATTGATTCAGTGACTGGGGTAATCGGGATGGGTGTATTGGAGATGGTGCGATTAGCACAGGACAGAGCAGAGTTTAGGGCTGTTGCACATAGGGTCACTATGAGTCGTAAGCGACTCGATGGCACATAACAACAACAACTAATTTCTTTTGGTACAGTGATTTTGTGTATTCTTCCTATCTTCTTTTAATGTTTCCTAGGTCATTAAAGATTGTGTCTACAATTCAGTTAACTATTATTTTGCTTTCAAGCTTTTGAATTATTTCTGAATTTTTCTAACATAACTAATGCATTTAACATTTTCCTCCTCTATTGAGCTATATCCACCCTGCAGTGGAATTACTCTGATATCAAAAGACATTAGAACTTTTAACACTCTTGAAAATAAATTACTTTCTTAAGAGAGTTTCAGATACTTTTCACTACTCTGAGTTAGACATGAAAAGACAAGTTTACCACACATTTCTCTACAGTGAATTATAATTTAAAAATTACTTTTATCAATCATATGTTATGTACAAAGTATTATATCATTGTTTTAATTTTATAATCTCCAAGAATAAACTACGAGGAATATGACATCAAGATTGGTGAAAAACTTCTTAACAACCTATGTTATGCAGATTACACAACCTTTCTTTCAAAAAGTGAAGATGGGAAGCATTTACTGCAGAAGTTTTCAACATTGATTACATCTCACCATCAAGAAAACAAAATTTCTCACCACTAGACCAATAGGCAAAGATCATGTTTCATGGAGATGTTTGACATCAACAATGTTATTTTACAGATTCATTTTACTCAGATCTGCAATCAACAACATTGGTAGCAGCAGTCAAGAAATCAAAAGCTGTCTTGCATCAGGAAAATCTGCTGTCAAGAACCTCTCCAAAGTTTGAAAGGATGTCAGTTTAAAGACTAGGGTGTACCTAATCTAAGTCTTTGTATTTTCAATTATTTCCTATGGATCTGGAAGTTGGACAATAATGATGTCAAATATTAATTGATACCTTTGAATTGAGGTGTTGGTGAAAAGTATTGAATATTCCATAGACTGTCAAAAGAATTATGAAGTCTGTCTTGAAGGAAGTGTTCCTTAGAGGCAAGAATGTCCACTTACTTTGGACATATTTTTAGGAGGGACTGGTCTTGACGGAGAGACCTTAGGGTGAGAAAAGTATTGGGTCAGCAAAAGAGAGGGAAAACCATCAACATGATGAATTGATGCAGTGACCATAACAATGGGCTCTCTAGCATGATAGAGATTTTTAGGATGATACAGGATAGGACAAGGTTCAGATCTGTTGTTCATAGGATTCCCATAAGTTGAAATTGACTCAATGACACATAACAGTAACAACAATATTATCTATAAATACAAACTCGAGTTCGGTAATCAGTAGGGAGTTGCACTGTTCACCCAAAGATCTTACCTTTATGGGAAGTCTCTTCACATGCAATTACAATCTTGACAATACAGTAGCAGATCAGCTGAATTAGTTCCAAATCAACTACAATGAATGAGATTTTTTAGTACATTATTTATAAAATGAAAGTACTGCTGGTCTAGTGTGAAGAAGTTGCATTGCCAAACCAAATGCAGATGGGTTGAATGCACCAGCTCCTCTGTGGGAGGAAGATGGGCATTCTTCTCCCATGTGGTTTACCACCTCTGAAAACCCACTGTAGGGTCAGATATGAGGGTCAACTATGAGTTGATTCCAACTTGACTGAACTGAAACAACATCTATAGGCTCATGTGTGAAGCAGTTAGATTCTAGAAGGTGGGTTTTCTTTGTTTTGGTGAGGGTCGGGTGTAGACTGGTTGTGGGGTTGTGTGTGTATTGGTTTGTTTTTGTTGTTCTTGTTGTTTGTTTACAATGGGGTGTGAGTTGATTGGACTTGCCCAATTTATTTACCAGTGAGCTGTGAGCTAGAAGCCTCTTGTTTGGGGTCAACCATGACCTGGTGGGTGGGCTTTGTATTTAAAAGGTCACTGAGTATGTCTCCAGTTTGGAGGCTTATGCTTGAAGCAATTGGATTCTGGAAGGCAAGGCTGGTCCTCTTGTTTTAGTGAGGGTCGGGGTGGACTGTTTGCTTGTTTTGCTGTGGGGTTTTTGTTTTTTGGTTTGTTTGGGTTTTTTCCCCTTCACAATCAGGTGTGAGCTGATTTGTTTTACTGGATTTAGCTCACAATGACCTGTGGGCTGGAAGCCTTTTGTTTAGAGTCAACTAGGACTTGGTGGATGGGCCTTGTACTTAAAAGTTAGTTGAACCCTCAGGCCTATGGCCCTCTGATGTTAATTGTGTTTGGTATCAACATTCTTCTAAGTGGTACAGCACTGGCCTGTGAATTTGCTGTACTGATGTAGCTTGGAGTTGCTGTGATGTTGAATTCTGTGCCACTTATATGTCAAGTGCTATAATGGTTACTCATCATGGACAGTGTTTGGTGGAGTTCCCCGATTGAGACAGACTTGGAAGCAGGAGTGGCTTCTCCTTCCTAAACAACATGCCTCTGAAAACTCTATGAATGTAGAGAAATGAAGATAGTTATAGAACAGGGTTCAGATCTTTTGTTCATAGGGTCACTATGAGTCATGCTTGACTCTGACAGCATTTAACAACAACAATAAAGCGTAATAGAATTCAACTACATGGCCTTCAAGTATCTACCTTCACAAAATTCTAAGTCACATAGTTGGGCTAAAAGTTATATGCTTAGCTAATTCCATAGTTTATTTTTATAAATTGGTTTGTAAAATTTTGGTTTTGCCCAGATCATATTAACCTTGCCCTTCTTTTGTGTTAACCAACCTAAAAATCTGGGTTTTTTCCTCTATAAAGCATACAAATTTATTAATTTTTTGTCTTCTACCTTTATAAATGTATATTTCTGTAAATGATTTTTTACTGATAAATAACTGAGTTTTTTTCAATTTAAAACAGAATTATTGGAACAGATATGGAGGACGGCAAGATGAAAATCGGTGAGTCACCCATTTAATTGTTTATTTTAATAAGAAGAAATACTTACAGTCATAACCTATTATCCCCTTGATATGAGCAAGAAAATATCATTACAAGAGTTTGGATCTGGGAATTAGGAGTTCTGCTTCCTGGTCTTGGTTCTGTCATTTCTGTGAGATTTTCTGTAATTCAGCTACTGTTGAGTATCTCAAGTGTTACTTCCAGTGAAATAATTGAATTAAGTGATCCCTGAGGGCTAACATTCTGATTCCAAATAAGAGAATGTTAGGTATTACTTCTCATTTAATAGAAAGCCTATTTAAAAATTTAATGGTGAATTTCCTTACTGGTTGTATTTGAATGCAAGAAATTCAAGACATTGTTCAAGGCACAAAACTAAAAGTTCCAAGCCTTATAAAGATGCGCACTTTTTTTTTTTACCTGCTCTATTCAGACTCAAAATTTCCTCTTTAAGAGTGTTAAATTATTCATGTAACTGCAATAAAGGCTGGTAGGAAGATTTAGAGGAGTGAGATAAAGGGCACTCATTAAGGAAATAGAAAAGAGCTTCATGGAGTCAGTGACATTTAATTTTATCTTGAAAGACAAGTGAGTCTGTGTATAACAAAAATATACCATTACAGGTGCCTGAGTAAAATATCTTTTGTCTCTGCACATCTTTATTCAACTGGAAGTTTCTTTTTCAACTTTTTAATTGGGCAGGGTCCCTTCAGGAGTCAATGTGGAGGAGGCGGAAGTCCATGGATTATCAATGAGTAAAAAGTCATCACCCAAGATGGACAGAGACCTCCGAGAGGGTATGTACTGTTCAGTGTGCACTGAGGAGGAGGACGGGATGTGTTTGGAAGTTGTTTTACCAAAACAAGACAGAGCCTACTTCCTCTAGAAAAGAAACAGTAAGATTAAGCTATTATAATTTGCGAATGCCTGAAAGGAAGGTTTACAAACAGTAATATATCTGGGTTTTTTCTATCATGACCCTTGGTTTTCCACAGAAGTGCTTCCATATCCATGCTGTCTGTTAACACAGGGATCCTGTGAGGTAGACAGGGACTGTATCACCATTTCTTAGTTGAGTCCCAGAGGTTCTCATGCTTCTTCTGTCCCACAGTGAGTAAACATAGACAGAGTGGAGTAGACTAGCTCTCGACGACTGTGGTGAAGGAAAATGGCCTCATGTGATACCAGATCAGTGAATCTAAGATGCTTGAAATGCATAAGATCTTTCCAAGGCTTTAACAGATAACTAAAATTTAGATTGCACGGAGAGAAGTGTGAAAGCATTTTCCAGTGAGAAAAACAAATAGAACGTGATACAAAGATTAGTGGAGATACAATCAGAATGTTGTAAAAGAATAACTTTCAAATAAGGCGAAATATTATTTTAAAATTAACTGTTAATGGAAGTACTAACTGTCGTGTTAATTAACTAATATAATTTCTATATATTATTATTTCTCTAGGAAATTTACATACTATTTATTTCAATGATAGTAGCACCTTGTGAGACAAGCACCTCATAAGCATGAAAACTGAGGCTCTTGAAGATTAACTGACTTGCCCAAATTCTCACAGGTTATAGCATGCTGGAAAGACATTTGAAACCAGGATTTTAAATTTGCATTTGATTTTCTATTCTTCGCTCATCCTGTGAATTGTAGAAAATGGCCATTTATGCAAAATGTATTCCCCACTGATTATATAATTGCAAAATGAGAAGAATTTACTTTAATAAAAAAAACTCTCCTGAGAAGTACAGTACTTCCTTCCCCAGCAAGAGAGCTGGTCAGCAAATTCCTCCAGCTGATTTGGAAATGTCTGACTCTCTCCAGTACTCAAATTTCCCACCCCTTTCCTTCTTCAGCTTCCAAATAAGTTTGAGGCAGTAAACAGGATGATATGCTCATTTGATCTGACCTGGACCTCAGTGTGTAGCCACAAATCGCAGGCTATTGTACAACTTCCAGAGAGATCCCTAGTCAGCCAGAGTTCATGTCGCCTTTCAAGCTGAGAAATCACCCAGGAAGTGCATGCCAGTAAGTCAGCACATTGTTGTCAAGGTCTGGGAAACTCCCCGTGCAGTTGCCAAATTTCAGAACATTTTTTTTCTCTCTCTAACTACCAGAGGATATATTGTCCAGCAACTGAGTAAGACAGCTAACAGGAAAACTAGAGTAGAAGACTACATTTGGGAAAGAAAATCATGTTTGGCTGAGTCATCAGCAAAAGGACACACGCAGGAAGAAAAGGATAAACAGAACTGTTGTGTATTTGTTAGGCTGAAATTAGATGTCAGGGAGAGCAGAAAAAAGCCGTGCTTCACAGACTACAGTTCAGCTTTCTTGTCCTCCACAGAGAAGTATTGTCATCTCCTGGGTTTCCTAAAGTGTTCCATAGTACATCTTCGCCTCGCTTATCGACAGTCTTATCATCCAACTTCTCACATTGACAAAAATAGTAAGAAACTCTGCTATGATTCTTTTTCATGTCAACACTACACATCTGGCAGCATCAAATGCCAAGGTGTAAGAAGAGAGTAATACTGGATGTGAAGGTTAAAGTTAGTGTCAACTTCACCGAGTTGTGATCCTCAGTGAATTGGCAGTTATGTAATGATGTAATTTTGAAGTTATAATGAAGCCTTCATTCTCCATTTTTCTATAATGCATATTTTCTAATCACATCTTAATCTCTGGAACATAACTGTCAATAATTGAGGAGAGGGTGTAGTTGCACATTGCACAGATATGAAGCATGACTCATGGCTACATTCTGAAATGACTCCAGCCTCAGGAACATGCATTTCAACTTAGTAAGCACATCTGTACATCATCCAGTCTGCTTTTACTCACCAGTTTTATGGAAGTTGTGCTAGATAACAATATCAGAATCAATGGTGATAAATTAGAAATAATGCGGGTCTTGGAATTAGAGGCCAAGTGTCCAGTGTTGTCTGAACTACTGCAAGGCACTCAGTGTTTTTGAGTTTTAGGATTCCCATTTATTAAAGATGGGTGGAGACTTGTAAAAGGATTAATTTGAGAGCTCTTTTACAAACTGTAAAGGGATGTCTTCATAGGAGGGCTGCCTAGTCCCCACACCCCATGTGATGCCTTGAGTGACTGTGTGATATTTATGGTGAAGTGATTACTCTTGTGGTGAGACAGGCAGTGAGCTCTGAACCTCCTTTCTCACAAAGAAGTATTTTCCTAGATGAGCACTCTTTATTGCAACCAGAAAATCAGAGCCAGGCACATACTTTATGAATGATAGAAGAATTAAGTTGTTTCACTAAATCTCCTTGGGCTGTGGTTAAGAGTTGGCTAAATCCATCAAGCCAGGCCCCAAGAACCACAACTTACTGGATTGCAGTTTTATTTTCATTTGAGTGTTTTCTTCTGTCTGGTGTGCTGTGAGGCCTCTGCAGACCGGTAGCCTTGCCTTTTGAATGACAGAGTTCATTTTTCCTTTGTTATTGTTTTTCTTTTTGGTTGGTGGGTGGGTAGTTGGTTATTTTGGGTTCTAATATAAGCGTAGAAATCTCTGGAAATAACTCTCTGTGTTCAGAATAGTTTTTAGCTACAGTAAAGGCCAATGACTAATGCAAATTCTCCTTAAAGCTGTCAGAGTTTAGGCATTTAAAGGTACATGCTGCTCTCTGTTCCTTTACCTGATTCTTATGTATTACTTATATCATGACTGGGAACATTTTCTGTATGTAGATAACTAGTTTTGAAATATCTTGTATTGGTCATTTCTTATTAAAATGTGTCTGAATAGAATATAGCATATCAAACAGTTGACAGAGTCAGTCATAAGTATTATAAACAGTATCAAAAAAGCCAAAAAACCCAAACCTGTTACTATCCAGCTAATAAAACAATATAGTTTCCAAACTTGTATTCCTACAAAAACTTGCCACCACCTATTTCTACTGTGGCATTGCATAGCTAATGAGTTCAAATGGGTGACTTTTTAATTAGCAGTTTAGTGCTTTAAGTACTGTGCCACCTAGACTCTCCCAAAAGTACATAATTACTTAAACAGCTTAAGAATAATAGGCACCATTCTAAATTATTTTGTTTTATTAATTTTAATATCTCTCTTTTTAAAAAATAAGCTAATAATATTCACTGTAGTCATCAATATGGAAAACATGACAAAGCACAAACCGTCCATTTTACTAGCATTCTCAGATGTCTTCAACATCTATTCAAATTTTATATTAGAATCTGTCTTTTTGGTGAGCCTAAAAGAACCATACCTTTCTTGATCAAGGGGTATCTCTTTTTGTATCTCTAAGTGAGAGAATATGTGAATCACATTTTCAAATATTTGAGAGCCTTGATTTGGTTAGGACTCAGTAAATTATAGAAATTTAGAGAAATCTCTCCTAAACTATGATCTGTGTTAGCAGATTAAACATGTGTGCTATAAGATGAATTTCCAGAATTTAGCAGTTTACAGCAAATCACATTTGTACAGTTTCTGTGGGTTTGAATCAGCACACAGTTCAGTTTCTTTGCTCCAACTTCTTCACAAATTGCAGTAAAGGTACCAACTAGGGCAGGGATACCGTCTGAGGCTTGACTAGGAAAGAATATGCTTCTAAAATCAAATTGACAGAAATCTATCCCTGAAATGTATTAGAATAAAGGCTTCAGTTTGTAATGGGATGTTATGGATTACATCTCAGCATAAGAAAACAAAGGTCCTTATCATAAAGCCAACAGTGAACCTCTGATACATGAAGAAAGGATTGGCACTGTCAATAATTTCATCTTACTTTGATCCACATCAACACCCTTAGTACGGAAATCAGGAGATTGCATTAGATAAGTCCACTCTCAGGGACATTTCTTCCCCAGAATTCTTAAAAACAATAATGCCAGTTTGAAGACTAAGATGCACCAGATTCAAGCCATCATCTTCTCAATCACCTGCTATGCATCCAAGAGCTGGACAATGAATAAGGATTACAGAAGAATTGATGCCTTTGATTTCTGGTGCTGGAGAAAAGTACTGAATATCCCGTGGGATGCCAAAAGAAGAAACAGATATTCTTGGAAAAGATGCAGCTGGAGTGCCTTGGGGGAAAAGATGACAAAGCTTTGTCTTTCACACTTTGGGTATGTAGCTGGGCATAGCTATTCCTTACAAAGGACATCATGCTTCAAAAGACTGAGGGTTGTTGATTAATTTTCTAAAATATAATGAATGGGAATGGTTGTGTAAAACACAATGTGAATGAAGGATAGTGTGAAATACAATGTATACAAACTTTGTAAGCAAACCAATATAGAATTTTTATATTTTTTTTATTTATAACAAAAAATGATGGAAGGTCCAAGAAGGAGAGGAGGACCCTCAATGAGATGGATTGACGTGGTGACTTCAGCAATGGGCCTTAGTGTTTCAGAGATGATGAAGGTGGCACAGGACAGGGCAGGGTTCAGGTTAGCTCTTCATAGGGTTACTCTGAGTTATCGTCAACTCGACAGCACGTAACAAGAATAACTGTAAATTCCTTGCCAAGTGGACATCTTCTCTATGTCCATTTCCTTTATTAAAGTATGCATGCTGTAAGGGCAACACGAAGAGTCGGCTAGCAAGACTGACAGCAACCGAATGTAACATTGTCATGGAAGTGAAGCTATTTCAGGCTCCAACACTCAATTCCACGAGATATCAGAGGCAAGATTGTTAGGGATAATCTTGGAGTTTCTCTGCCACAGAGAAAAAAGTTAGGGAGAGACAGAGAGAGAAAAGGGAAGACATTCACCATAGAATATACGAATTTTGTAAAAATTCATGGATTCCATTCCACACATTAAAAACTCGAAAATTTAAATTTAACTCAACACTTGCCAAATACTTATAATCCAAAACTCTTTATAACCAAAACTTTTTCTTCAAAACAAAGTTTGAGAAGGGGGGTGTGTGTGTCTGTGTGTGTGGATCTTGCAAATTGGCTTTGGTATAAAGAATGTATGGATAATTCTGTGATTGCATGTAATGAAATAACACAGTAAAAATATATGTGTATGTATTGATTTGTGTGTACATATATTTATATATTTGAGGAAGCTCTGTTAATGTAGTATATTCACTCAAAAAGAGAAAAAGTAGCCCTGAAGTTGAAAGTTTATTGATACGTTTTTGGTAGCAAAAAATTCTCTCCTCAAAACTTTCACAGAATTTTTAGGCAACTTGCATGTAGAGAATAGCCATCTTATAGCCAAGTACTGCCACGAGCTTTCTACCTCAGTGGATGTGGGTGCGTCTGTGGTCACACTGGAACCAGCTAGTTCAAATGATGATTCAGTGGCTGCAGAGTAGTTAGAAACAAAGTGGGATGAAATTAGAACATAAATAGTATATTAGTTGGAGATGAAGACCAAAAGATAATCACTTTGACCTTCTGTGAAGTTGATTTTGTGTTTCTCTATAACAGGGAATAGTTATAGTAGAGATGAGTCACCATATAACACAACACAAAGAATGGTAGTTAAAAAGAATATGGACTAGAAGAGTTAACGCGAGATTCATGTTGCAGATAACTTTTTAAATTTCAGCTGAATCAGAGCTATCATTTCATTAATGTGGCTAATTTTAATTTAGTTGGTTTTATGGCTTTGTTTTAATTTGATCTCGCAAATTGGTCTGGTACTAGGGTATTAAATGATAAAAATAAATAATGTATACATGGTTTTGTGATTGCATTTAATGAAGTAGCTTTGCACTAAAAGTAATTTGTCAGCTCCGGAGCTCCTTGGGGAACACTTTGCTTCGGTAGATAACCATATATTACTTGAGAAACACTGGTCTCGATTATGTTTTATACTTCTCATATTCTATCAATCATGGTCTGTTGTGGCTCTTTTATGCTAACTTCCGTAATGAGCTCTTAGTGCTGTTCTCTCGTTTGTCAAATCCATTTTATAGAGACAAAGTAGCTATCAGTTTTTCTTCCAACTGGTGTAAATTGGATGAGTGGGTTGATAATCATAACTAGACTAGGAAGAAGGAGGGAGAGGTTGTGCTACCCCATTCACTGCATGGCACACTTTTGTCACTGACAAGCGCGTGTCAGGCCTCTTGTTGTCTTTCATCACCTTTGACCCAGCTCCTTGTCATGGCCACCTAACCCATGCACAATGGTGTCAGATTACTGTCTGAAAAGCCATGGATTTTCATTGATTGACTTTTTTGAAGTGAGACATTTTCCTAGCTCATTTTAATCTAGAAGCTCCAGTTAAACCTGTACATCTTCAGGTTGAGTTGTTCCTCTGGCAGGTTTTCAGAGACAGTTAATCACACAGGAGGATATTTACCATCCTTCTCCCATGGAACAGCTAGTGGCCTTGTGAACAGCATGCCTTCAGGATTGTAGTGCTGCAGCTTCTTGTCACTAGGTCACCAGAGCTCCCTGTACAGATTCATAGCAACGCCAAAACCTTAAAGGACAAACAGAGTGGTAGTTGAGTTGGTTGAGTGATAATACAAGTTGATCCTGGGCCTCATTTATGGATGGTAAGAATTCTAGTACTGAACTGCTTCTGACTTCCTTAGGTCCCTCAGGAATATGATTAAGAGTTGAAAAGCTGTTTTCCATTCTGTTCAGTTTATATAGATCAAAATGGTTGTACTCTGTTAAAATTTCAGATGTCCTCACCATAAGGCCAGAGGCTTTACCTTTGAGTTTTACTATCATGAGAAGACTTTATTAAGTCTAGATTTTATAATATCATAATCTAAAACACTCTCAATAGTGTCAACTTCTTTAGAGCCTCCATGAGTCTAATTTCGTGAAGATGAGAGTTCTATCTGAAGAGAGTTTGCCTATAAGAAACTCTCCTGTGTACAATAGCAATGTAAAGAAGTTTTCCAGAGAGCACAGAGAAATAAATGCTGTAAAAACAAGAATATATAAAGATATATGTATGGACCCTGTGCAAGGATGACATGCAAATTCATGAAGGACTCCGTTTTATTTTTGATAAGGAAGTGTCTTTCACCTGCTAGGTAAAAATACTTTTCTGTCCAATATTCTTCTAACAGTGAACATCTAAATTTTAAGACAGACTAGGAAGAAGGATTGGCCATCCACTTCTAAAATATAACTGGCCTTTGAAAACCGATGTACAGCAGAGCACACTTAAAGTAGACTAACAGATGTGGCAACTGAAGTTGAGTCTTCAAATTTGGAAACACAAGGAGGAGAAACAGTTGTAAGAAGAAATTAACAATTGTTACACGGAATGTGAGAAAAATGAATGTAGAAAACTGGACACTGTAAAGAAAAAAATGGAACGCATAAGTATTGAAAAATTGGGTATTAGCAAGATGAGAAGGATTGGCATGGAACATTTTGAATCCCATGATCATATGATCTATTATGGTGGTGATGAAAAGGTGAGGGAAAACTTTCATAGTTAAAGGGTCATTTCGAGATCCATCTTGAAATACAATATTGTGAATGACAGGATAACAGCCATACGCATACAAGGAAGACCTGTTAATACCACTATCATTCAAATTTAGCATGACCGCCAAGGAAATAAATCGGTCTGTCTTGGAGAGGGTGAAACCAAGTCTCTCCTTGGAGGCTACAATTTTGAAGCTCTGCCTCACTTACTTTAGTCATGTGGCCAGGAGAGATTGGTCCCTGGAGAAGGACATCATGCTCAGAAGGGTGTACAAAAATTGCAGGAGAGGGAGACCCCAGATGAGATGGATTGATACAGTAACTGGGGTGATGGAGGTGGGTGTGTCGGAGTTAGTGAGGCTGGCTCAGGACAGGAAAGGGTTCAGAGCTGCTGTACATAGGGTGCTATACGTCACAGGAGACTCAATGGCACATAACATTAACATACTAAGACAGGTTTGGAAACAGAAGTGGACTCCACTTCCTAAATAACATGCCTCTGAAAACTATAAACTTTGATAAGGCTTGATAGTTAAAGAAAGACTTCAGGCCTTTTGTACATCGGGTCGCTATGAGTCATACTCGACTCGAAGGCAATCAACAACAACAAAATGGGTGCAGGAAGACAACAAGAAAAGGTGTCAAGTCACTTGGATGTAACTGGTCTAAAGGCTCCCATATCACTTTAGTTACTTGGTGAAGGCATTCATTTAGACACCAATAAAACCCAATGGATATGTCATGCCTGGGGTACACAGCATCCAGTAATTGCATAGATGTTGCCATGGAGGTATGAACCAAGGGCGGTAGAGAAGGGTGAACTGTCCAGGAGACTCAAAGACATTATCCTGGAGGAGAATCCTGTGAAATGGCTAGTCAACTATACAAGATCATCACTGTGATCAAATACAATATATTCCGTTCCAAAATACTATTTAAATGTAATAATATTATTATGATAAATGGAGAAACATGGTAGTTAGACATCTGTCACTTTTCAAAATCTATTTTGTGTTTCTCAAACTTCCAAATTTGGGATTTGTGTTTGCATTCCTAAATATCCCTGAGGAGACCACCTTCCCATAACTGCACATTGGAAACTGATGAGTGTTCTGTGCTTCTCTCTGAGGACAAGCTCACAGGGGAAGAAATGTGCTTTGTCCCTTCAGGTGGCCCTCTGCTCTACGAGAACATCACATTCGTCTACAACTCAGAGCAACTGAACGGGACCCAGCGAGTTCTCTTGGATAACGTCCTGTCGAAAGAGCAGTGCCGGGAGCTTCACAGTGTGGCCAGTGTGAGGACCGGGAGAGGGAGGGAGTCCAACTCTGCTGGCCTCGCCTGAGCCTCATAGTGCTATGGCACAGTTCTTATTTGCAGCCAGGGAACAAGACTATTTTTAGGATAGAGACATCAGTTATGAAGGCGAATTCATAGTTTTACTTGGATGATGGTAATTTCTTGCCAGACTGTATCTAGATTATCCAGTGGTTTAATTCCTAAAACAACAGCCATGTACCATATGCCTAATCATATAATGCCATGGGGAAAATACAATGAAAATACAGATGCCCTCAAAAAAATGAGTCATGAAAATATAAGTATCAGTAGTTTTTAATCAGAAACAATCATTCACATGCTACCAGATTCTATAAAAAAATAGTGGCTGCATTATATTTTTAAAAATGTAGAATCAAATTTCACTAAACGTATCTCATTTCATAGGAAAAATTAATTGTATCAGGACCCCGTGATTAATTTTGTACAGTTCTGAGTACGGACTTTGGTTCTTAGCTTTTTCTTAACCAAAGGAAAAAGGGAGGCCTGATTAATTAGACAGCCATCTTTGATAAAGAATTTTCTGGCCTTTTGCTTCCAGGGAATTATGCATGTTGGCGATGGATATAGAGGAAAGACTTCACCCCACACTCCCAATGAGAAGTTTGAAGGTGCAACAGTACTAAAAGCACTGAAGGTAAAGCTTTAACTTTATTTGAAGCTTCGGCTCTGAAGGGTGAAGTTAAGATCCGTTGGTGACAGATACAAAGGAAGAAGAGAGTTTAGAATATGTCTGCTGAGACAACTGAAGGAGGCAAATATAAACCAGCACCTTCAGTGTTCTCCAGTCATTCACCGTTTCTCATGCGCACACATCCATTTACAAAATTTCCATTTCCCAACTTTGTACCTGTCATGCAAATGCAAATACTGCCCTCAAAGACCTCTGCTGTCAAAGACGCTCCTAGAGAGAAATGAGGAAAGTGACATGACAGAAGAGAGTGCTTGCCTTCCCTTGTGTGGTAGGGAAGAGCTTGTTTTACTGACCCGTGCTGCTTCTCAAAAGCCACACTTGTTGTGTAGGAGTATCCCTGCTCGTCCACACAGAATTAACTATACTGTTCTGGCTTAAGGAGACTTACCATGTATTTTCTCATGCTCTACACTCACCACCACCTCCTCTCCCTCTGCAGTGGTTTCTAAAGTTCTGCTTTTTTTTCTTCAGTTTGGTTACGAAGGCCGTGTCCCACTGAAGAGTGCCCGTCTGTTCTATGACATCAGCGAGAAGGCTCGGAAGATTGTTGAATCCTATTTCATGCTGAACTCAACCCTGTATTTTTCCTATACACACATGGTGTGCCGAACAGCCCTCTCTGGTGAGATACCAGGGTCTGAAGCTATTTCCTCCTCCCTACAATGCAAATGCAAGTGTAAAAGAAACAGTGCATCTTTCTCTCTCTCTCTCTCTCTCTCTCTCTCTCTCTCTCTCTCTCTCTCTTTCTCTCTCTCTCACAGACACACACACACACGTCCTTTATATTTGAGATTAAGGCTTTAGGAGAGTTCTAATGTTCTCAAACAAAATCAGTTCATTCGTACTCTTCTCTTCCTCCGTCTTCTCTTACTTGGTCTCTTAGAGTTCCACCATACCCTCACTTACACTTATTTTCTCCTTTTAACGTCACTTCTACTTTTCAGCCATGCAAAATTCCTTTCCTCAAGAGATTTTTGTTACCTGAAAAGAGATTCCTTTTTTCAGATAAAAAAAACCCTGAAAATTACAGTCCATTATGCCTACAAGAATTAAGAAGAAGCATAGAAAATGGAGAGATTGTACAAAGAAATATTCTTTAAAAGTCAGAACCCTCCTCACTCTCTGCTGCTTATTATTTCTTCTATATGTTCTCCTTTTACCTCCTGCTGAGGAAAAGAGACTTTACACTTGGAAAGTTTCAGCTGAATCTATTCTTTTTTCTTTTCCCATTTTTCTTGCATCTTTGCCTTTTTGCTTCTGCATGTGGGATAAAACCATGAAAAGTTTAGAATTTACATGTGCATGTTTTGTTTTTTTGTTTTGTTTTGTTTTTTTTACCTGAGCACTGTGAGAGCTGGAGAGGCGAGTATGACTTGCTAAAGGCTTCACATCAAGTTTATGGCAGAACTGGACCACACTCTCCCATTGCCTCTGCTGTGTCCTTTCCCCTAACCCGCCCTGCCTTCTGTCTCCTCAAATTTATAAGAGCTTCCAGGAACAGAGAAGACAGTCAGATTGTCAGCTTTGCTGTCTTAGAGGTTACTGCACGCCATCGATCATCCGTCCTGGGTCTGTTTTCTGGCAGGTCAGCAAGATAGAAGGAATGACCTCAGTCACCCCATCCATGCTGACAACTGTCTGCTGGATCCAGAGGCGAATGAATGCTGGAAGGAGCCTCCTGCCTACACATTTCGGGATTATAGGTACGGTGAGCACTCACCTCAAAGTCAAGCTGCAATCCCCTAGCTACCCAAATACCACAGAACCTAAAAAGCTGCTGTGTTGCTTGCCATCATACGCACTTCTATAAATCTGAGATTCTTAAATTGTCTACAGAAGCTGCTACAATTCAGACATTAGTTTATCATCTCATTTTTCTTTTAAAAATCTGTGCAAATGTTACATTTCATGGTGTATTTTTTGTTTTAATATAAAAATGAAGTTTGTGTGGTTTTTATTTTCCCATCACACTTCTTGGCTTTCACTAAACCCTATCTCTGTGTCTCAATCTGAGAGCACAGAGACACTATTTCTTGACACAGCAAGAGATCTCTTTGCATCCTCATCTTTTAAAAGCCCATGTATATGAGAAACTGTCTCTGCATTTTATAAATATGCAATTGGAAACTCACAGAAAGGGCGTTTTCTATCAATGAAATAGATAGTTTAGCCTGTAAAGAAAAAAGTTGGTATTTATAGTCAGTCACTAGGGTGCATGCAGCACCGCAATCCCAAAGACACGCAGCGGGAATCCACCAGCTGCCCCAAGGGAGGATGGGCAGTCTCCTCTCATGTGATGTATCGCCTCCTAAAACCTGCTGGAGGGTCAGCTATGGATAGGTTCCAACTCAGCGGTACACGGCAACAGCAGTATGGGACATGTTCCTTAGTGTGTCACCTGTTAAGCAAAAGGCTAGTGGTGAAGAAAGATGGGCAGTCTCCTTCCAGAAAGACTGGCAGCTTTGGAAATCAGATGCAATGTGGCTGTGAGTCCGAATGAACTCTATGGCAATGGATATTTTTTTAATGCATGAATAATATTATTATTACACCGTCCTGTCTACAAAGACAATGACTATCAAACACTCTATCTGCCAGACTAGGATAGCCTTCAAAAAGCTATCAAGCCAGTTGGGAAAACCAACAAACACCATTGTATGGGTAGGTTAATAGACTAGATTACATTTGATTGCATTCTCGTTGGAGGAGGTGAAATGTAAGATGAGCTTAGACTACAGGTAAAATTTTAGCCTAAGTTGAATAAATATATACTCCAGGGGAGTGGCCCAAACTACATGTGTTTTTTGGTGACAAGGATCATTGCTTCAATATACAATTCTAAGGAAATTCATTGTTTTTCCTCACCAGTTTATCACAAGTCTTCCAGATATCATGATGCTTCTGTCGTTGTAAGCATAAAATAGTTGTTGATGTTATGTACTGTTGAGTCACCTGCAATCCACAGTAACCCTATGCACAGCCGCTCTGAACCCTGCCCTGTCCTGAGCCAGTCTCACTAATACTGACACACCAACCCCCATTGCCCCAGTTACTGTATCAATCCATCTCATCTAGGGCCTTCCTCTCCTGTGCTGTCCCTCTACCCTTCCAAGAAAAATGTCCTTCTCCACGGACCAGTCTTTCCTGGCCATGTGCCTAAAATATGTGAGACAGGGCTTCAAAATCCTAGCCTTCAAAGGGAAACTTGGTACCCTTTCCAAGACAGACCTATTTCTTTTCTTGGCAGTCCAAGATATGTTCAAAACTCTTCTCCAGCACCATAACTCGAAGACATCGATTTTTCTTCTGTCGTCCTTAGTCATTGTCCAGCTCTCTGACACATAGCTAGTAATTGCAAAGACTATGGCCTGGATTGGGCACACCTTAGTGTTTAGACTGACATCATTGCTTTTCAGCAGTCTGGAGAGATCCCTGACAGAATACAATAGTAAGAGTGAAAATTAAGCTGTGCACAAAACTGTGTCTTGGGTGCAACGTGTCATTTAATTATCAGATACCTTTATAAGGAAAAGACTTTTATGCTCATTTTATAGGCAAAGACACTGAGGTTTAGAGAGGTTAAAAAATAGGCCAGGACCATATCAGTTGCTTATGCTGATGATGATAGTTATTGTTGTTAGGTGCGGTGGAGTGTGACTTATAGTGACCTTATAAACGGCTGACCTGAGCTTTGTGCCCTTTGTGCCTTGTGTCGTCCTTAAAATATCTGGCACGCTAGGGACCTTTACTGAAGTCACTGTGTCAGTTCATCTTATTGGGGATCTTCCTCCCCCCAGCAAATCAACTCTGACTCCTAGTGACCTACACACCAAACAGCAAGACTGTTAGATGCTGTGCCATTTCTCAGTCCATCTTGTGCTTATGGTCATTGTTGCAGGCACCTTGTCACCCCATCTTATTGACGGTCTTCCTCTTTAAGAGGACTGACCCTCTTAAAAATAAACTGTGGTTATCACTCTAGAGAGCTTAGGAGACCTAATGGTTCAATGTCCAAATTACCTTCCTGCTAACTGAAAAGTAGTTGTTTCAAACTCCCTGGCTGCTCTCAGAGAAAGATGTGTCATTCTGCTTCCATCAAGACAGCGTTGAGAACCCTATAAGGCAATTTAACTGTTTTGTAGAGTCATTATGAATTGGAATCAACTTGGTGCCAGTGTGTGGAGGGGGATGGAACTTTTGAGTCTGTCTAGGCTTGAGGCTTAGCTCAAATCAAGGCAAATTTCTAATAATCTATGTCTGTTATTTTGCGAAATGACTGAACCTAGAAAGTGTTACTGATGATGATGATGATGTTACCATTTTGTACTACTTCTTTGTTGTTAGGTGCTGATGAATTGACTACAACTTATAGCAATCCAATAAACAATAAGTCTGAATCTTGCCCTACCCTAATCCATATTTACAATCCTTGATATGCTCAAGTCCGTTGTTACAGCTTGTCAGTCCATCTTGTTGAGGGTGTTCCCCTCTTTTTCTGACCCTCTAGCTTTCTTAACCCTCTGTCTTTTCCAGCATGATCTTTTTTTCCAAGAACTGGACCTTCCTGACAGCATGGCTCAAATGACATGAGATAAAGTCTCAGCATCCTTGCTTATAAGGATAGTGAAACTGTCTCACATATACCCCTGGACCAATAAGCATATACTACCTCTAGATAATCACTCTGACAATTGATTCACCTTTATAATCACCCTCTTCACACTGCTTTCCTGCCAATCCTTACCACAACACCTGGTATATACCCTCCCCCAGACCCCTGCTTTTGAGTTGATTCCAAATCAGAATGAGCCTCCTTCCAGTTTCTGGGGTGTAAATCTTCAGAGGACGAGACACCTTGAGGAGTCTGCCATAGGAGGAGGGTCTTTCTCTACAGAGCAGCTGGTGAATTTGAACCACTTACCTTTACATTGACAGGGAAACTACTAAAACCCCTTTCAGGCAAACACCAAGTGATCAATTATTGACTTGCTCATATAAATCTAGAGACACAGGTATTGCAAAGACCCTGTTGTCCTCACCTATATCATCAGGATTCTGCCTGGTGGGTATTGGAATGGTTCCACTTTCACAACTCAGTCTCAGACTCAGGAGAGCCATTGATTCTGATCGCTGACAACTTGGGGGAAATGCAACAGAACGTGCCCTCGGGTGTAGCGGATGTGACCATGGTTGTGTCAGGTGAACTTACCAGCAAGTGTGCCTCTCCTCGCAGCGCTCTCCTGTATATGAATGACGACTTTGAAGGAGGAGAATTCATCTTCACAGAAATGGATGCCAAGACTGTGACGGTATGTGTACCTATTTCCTTACATTTATTTGTAATATTTTCATTTTAATTTTGCCATTTACCATGAACTCATAGCTTGCCAATGATTCCAAGTTCAAGAATTGAGAAGTTAGGAGACTTTGAATGAATGCCCACCTCATAAAATGTTAAAAAGGGAAAAATCTTCTGGTCTCTTTTATAAGTGGGTAAATAAATAAAATTACTAAATCTTTTCTCATGATAATATAGTTAGTGGTATTAGACTTAGAACGCAATTTTTCTAATTCTTTGTCAGTCAAATAAGAGGAACATAAGATAATATCAACAATTCCTAAACCGATCCAGTATACAGCAAGTCAAGTGATTTTATAAGTAACTTAGTAACCAGCTTTGTTATTCATGCTTGAGTTGAATATTTGTCTCCTAAACCCAAGTTTAAAATTATATGTATATAATTTTACTGTTGTTGTTACATGCTGTCAGTCGCCTGTGATGCACAGCAACCATATCTATGTACAGCAGCTCTGAAGCCTGCCCTGTCCTGAGCCAATCTCACTGACTGTGAAACACCTACCCCCATTGCCCTAGTTACTGGGTCAATCTGGGGTCTTCCTAGTTACTGGGTCATCCAGGGTCTTTTTCCCCTACCCTTCTTATGCTGTCCCTCCACCCTTCTGAGCATGATGTCCTTCTCCAGGGATCAGTCCCTCCTAGCCATATGCCCAAAGTATATGAGATGGAGCTTCAAAATCCTAGCGTCAAAGGAGATGTGTCTATATAGATATAGATTATGATAGAGAGCTAGAGATATATAGTGAGATATACACATATAGTGATATATACCTATATATTGAGATACACATATATGGTGATAGTTGTTTGTTGTTGTTATTGTTGTTGTTATGTGCCGTTAAGTCACTTGCAATTCATAGCGACCCTATGTACAACAGCCCTAAACTCTGCTCTGTCCTGTGTCAATTGCACTGTCTCTGACACTCCCATCCTGATTACCCCAGTCACTGAATCAATCCACCTCATAGAGGGCCTTCCCCTCCTGCCCTGTCCCTCCACCCTCCCAAGCATGATGTCCTTCTCCAAGAACCGGTCTCTCCTTACAACATGTCCAAAGTATGTTAGACAGAGCCTCAGAATCCTTGCCTCCAAGGAGCTACCCGGTTTAACCCTTTCCAGGATGAATCTGTTTGTTTTCCTAGCAGTCCATGGTACTCTCAATACTCTTCTCCAGCACCACAGCTCAAAGGCATCAATTCCCCTTCTATCCTCCTTGGTCATTGTCCAACTCTCTGATGCATGACAAGTGATTGCAAAGACCATGGCCTATATCAAACGCACCTTAGTCTCCAGAGAGACACCATTGCTCTTCAGTACTTTGGAGAGGTCCCTAACAGCAGACTTTCCCATGGCATATGCCTCTTAATTTCCTGGCTACTGGTGCCAAGAGTGTTGACTGTGGAGCCAAGCAAACTAAAGCTGTGAACAACTTCAATCTCTTCACCATCCATCCTGATGCTGCCAATGGGTCCAGTGGTGAGAATCTTTGTCTTCTTGACATTGAGCCTCAATCCATACTGAAGACTGCAGTCCTTGACCCTCTGCAGCAGGTGCTTCAGGTCCTCCTCAGTTTCAGCAAGCAGGATTGTGTCATCTGCATAACACAGATTGTTGATAGATCTTCCACCAATCTTGACCCCACATTTCTCCTCACAGAGCCCAAACTCCCGGATAATCTGATCCACATACAGGTTGAAAAGGTATGGACATAGGACGCATCCTTGGCATACACCCTGCCCAATTTTGAACCATGCAGTGTTTCCTTGTTCTGTTCAGGTTCAAGTTCAGGTTTCGCATTAGAACGATCACGTGTTCTGGGATTCCCATTCTTCTCAGAGTCAGCCACAGTTTGTTATGATCCACACAGTCAAACACCTTTGCATAGTCAATGAAACACAGATATACATTCCTCTGGTATTCCCTGCTTTCAGCTAAGATGGTGATGGTAGGTGCTGTCAAGTTCAGTACAACTCTTAGTGACCCTTGAAAAGCTGACTTCAACCTGAAACCAGCTCTGTCCTTTACTGTCCTCATGTTCTTTGACACTCTTGATACCATTGCTTCATTAACTATATCCCTTCATCCCCCTGTGAGTCTTCCACTCCTTCTCTGACCCTCCATCTTTCCAAGCATGATGTCCTGTCCAAGGAACAGCCTCACCTAACAACATGTCCAAATTATGAGAGACGAGGCTTCAGTATTTTTGCCTCCAAGGAGCACTCTGGCTGCATTGTTTCCAAGTCATATCTTCGTGTTCTTTGGGCAGTTAATGGGATATTCATTACTTTTCTCTGGTACCACAACTCAAGGCTTCAGTTCTTCTATCATCCTTCTTCATTGTCCACGTCTCTAAAGCATAGAAGGTGATTGGGAAGACCATGGCCTGAAACAGGTTCACCTTGGTCTTCAAATTGACATTTTTGGTCTTAAGTATTTTGGAGAGGGACTTGGCCAGTGCAATAAGTCTCCTGATTTCCTGACTGCTGATACCAAGGGTATTGATTCTTGATCCAACTAAGACTAAATCATTGACAATATCAATCATTTATCCATCTATCATGTTGTTGGCTGTTGGTCCTGTAGTGAGGACCTTTGTTTTCTTATTGTTGAAATGAACAAGAAAAAGGTATAGCTATAGTGTTAGAGATAGAGAGAGAAAGAGAGAGAGAGAGAGAGTTGTTGTGTGCCAGTGCCAAGATTACACTTCCTTCTCTTGCAGAGCAGCTGGGGGATTTGAACCATGTGCCTTTGGGACTGCAATGCAATAGATAGATAGATAGATAGATAGATAGATAGATAGATAGATAGATAGATAGAAAGAATATGAATGAGTGTCCTGGTGGCCTCTGGGTAAGAATCTGTGCTGCAATCTGAAAAGCAAGTGCTTCAAATCTACCAGCTGCTGTGAAGGGGAAGGATAAGCATTCTCCTTCCATGTGATCAACTGTCTCTGAAAACCCACCAGAGGGTCAGCTTTGGGTCAATTCTGACTTGATACTATACAACATATGTTTTATTTATATATAAATTTATTGTTGTTGATATGGGGGGGCTTGCTGTTTCTGGGTGCCATTTAGTGGGAACCACTACATAGCTGACCCTTTAGTGAGTTTTCAGAAGATTTAAATCACCCAGGAGGTGATTACCCCTCTTACTCTTGCAAAGCAGCTGTTAGATTCAAATCAAATGCCTTTAGCTTGGCAGGAAAATATTTTTATAGCATCAGACAAAATAAGATTCCAGCCTGTTCGTTGTACATAGGGTCACGATGAGTCATAGTGAACAACAACCATATAGGATATCACACTCATACACATATGGGAGCTCTGGTAGCTTAGTGGTAAGGAGTAACATTGTCAACCCTAGAGTGCGCAATTCTAATCCACCAGCTTCTCAGCTAACAGTCTTGTTTCAGGCAATTAGTAGCCTCTGAAAACCCGATGGAGCTGTACATTGGTGCCTACTCAAAGGTACATAGAAACAGCAACACTTATCTATAAACTAGTATGTTTTTTAAAGAGCTCTGGTAACCAGTGAGTAAGGAGTTGAAATGCCAACCCAAAGGCAAGCAGTTTGAATCTCCAAGCTGCTCTTTGAGAGGTGGACAGTCTCCTCCCATGTGATTTTCTGCCTCTGAAAATCCATCTGAGGGTCATCTAAGAGTTGGTTCTGTCTCAATGGCACATAAAAATAACATGTTATGCAAGTGGTAGTGACATAGTTAAGATACTTGCCTAAGTAGGGGAAACGGGCCATAGAGGCACAGAGCCTTAAGTATCTCTCTGAAAGGGGCAGAAAGAGAATAACACAGCCCCTCATCACCCTAATGCAGAAAGCACATCAACAGTCCTTAGCCCAGCCTCGTGGTGCCTGCAGAGCCCACCATCAGCAAGAGGTTAGTTTATTCATTGCTGATTCACAGACTCACAGTTATGGTACCAACAATGGGGTTTATTAAAGAAGAAAGTTGTAAAGTAGGAGAGGAAAAGAATATCACAGTATCAGAGAGCTCTAGCGGCCTAGTGGCAAGAAGCTGCACTGCAATTCCAGAGATAAGCGGTTCAAATCCACCGGATGCTCTGCCGGAGAAGGAGGGGGGCAATCTCCTCCTGTACCAGTCAGATCCAATTTGACGGTAAACACACACACACACACACACACACACACAATAATAAAATAAAAATTTAAAAAAGAAAAAATAATTTCACAGTATCATCCAAAATAAGTCCAGGGTTTAGTCCACCTGTTCCAAGGCACAACTCCTCAGTTAGTCCAGTCTCTGGTTTCAATTCAGCAAGCAGATTTACCTTCCATCATCAAAGGTGAGAACATTAAAATCCAATGGTGGCCAACGCAAATACAAGAAAACATCTTGCCTCTGGTTGTCCACTCCACAGCAATGTCACAGTCTCTCCACTACCAGGGTCTTGTGCTCACCGGGGTTTACCATCGCAAGCCTTCTTTACCTTAAGTCTTGCTCACCTCAAGTCTTGTTGCTCAGTGTGGGAAGCACTCTTTTGTTTATCCTAATCCCAGAGCTGGTGCTGATTTTGCAAAACCATGTGTCTGCAGTTAAGGTAGGTGGAGGCCAGAGGCTAAATGGCTTTAAAAAAACAAAAAAACAACAAAAAACAAAAAAAAAACACCCCAGCCAACTTTTGGTCTAACACCACACACTGTTTTGCTAACCAAAACTTGGATTATTTGAACTCATCACTCACTGGAAGAAAATTGTGTCAGTCACCTTCTTATTTTTAAATTTTTTTAATTTTATTATCTTTTGTGGGTGTGTACCATCAATTCAGATCTGACAGGTTGTTGTTGTTGTTGTTGTTGTTGTTATATGCCGTTGAGTCACTTGCAATTCATAGCGACCCTGTGTACAACAGCCCTAACCGGGCTCTTTCCTGTGCCAAATCCACTGTCTCTGACAAACCCATCCTGATTACC